TTGCTTGAATCTAAAACTTCTCCCACGATCGAACGTTATTCTTTGATCTGACAAGCCAGAGGAAAATGTCGTTCCGTGACTCATGTGAGTCATTCACAGCAGCACTGGCCTTCTTGGACGTGGCATTGAGCGAATCCTCCGACACGTCGCAGTCCCAAGGCAGCCCGCCGGCGCTCCCGACATTAACCGACGGCGAATGGAACCCGAATTTGGTTTTGGACAACATCGGAGACTTTAGTGGAGATGCAGTGGACACGTTAGCATCCGACTACACGTCGTTAGTGACTCTACCAGATCAAATTCAACTCGAAGCGAGTAATTTTGACTTCGAAACTATTGGATTCGAGTCCACTTCTCGGAACTCCAAGAAACAAAAACGTACCAGTAAAAACGAGAAGAAATTGCTCAACTACAACCCGAACAAGGCGCGTAATGGCCGTCGCTTCGAGATCATCCATCTCCGCAAAGAGGCGAGAGAATTGGAGTTGATGTTCCAGCAGTTGAAGTCGATGCAGGAAAGAGAAGACCTCCGGCTGGGTCGAACAAGCAACGCTAAGAACCGAGTGAAGAAGGTGCCGGCAGTGTGGGAAGAGATCTGTAAGCGCCAGCTTGAGCGGCGCCTCAAGGTTGAGAGGGAGAACGTTTTGTTGAGAAAGAAGTGCGAGAAGGGGCGACAAGTGGCGAGGAGTATCGAAAGAATGGTGAGGAAGCGACTTGCACAGCAAGACGCCGCGTGTTCGGACTTGAACAGACCAACCAGGCGTGTCGGTATATCTCCAACTTTCAGTTCACGAATGACTAGCAAGATCTTTGAAGAGCTGTTGGCTGGCGTGGAGGCTTCCTACAATGAGGTAGACAGCGTGTTTGAAGACAACAGTTCCACGTTCCCGAATCGACGAACGCGCGCTCCGCTGGGCCGAGACAGCGTGAAAGACATGCAAGTGGATCTGCTGTACGGCAAGGTCATGCCGTTTCAAGTGGACGCAATCGGTGACGCGTGGTGGACACGCTGGCACAACTACAAGGGTCAGTGTACGACCCAGAATGAAGGGAACACGATCGCAGAGAAATTTGGGCTGGAGATGCGCGATTCCAGGACGAACACGACGGCTACGTTCTACGACCAGCAGGTTCTGCGTCGATATGACGACAAGGATCGTATTGTTATCGTCTGGCGCGCGTATATCGAGCCGCTTGAGTATGACGAGCGGCAAGTGAATGGAATGTACTTCCTAGAGAAAGGATACGTGCTTATTACGCCGTACGAACAGGACGAAGCAGCAGACGGTGACAACTCCACTTTCTCGCGCGTGTCGACTTGCTACATACTTACGCCTAAGTCGACAGGTCGAAAGTTGCGCCACGACTCGCGAACGACTTCACTGGTTGACTTCGTCGCCAGTTCTGTGTCGGCTAACATGGCCATGATCATTGAGATGGTTGAAAACATGCTGCTGGATCAATCGATAGACCAGTGTAAGCCCCACTGAGGAATGCGCATGTGTAGATCCAGCTTTGATGCATCAATACCAGCCCAATGTACTTTGATTCAGCGAACAAGACAAGGTGCTTGCATAAATGTAGCCTACTCGAGCATGTCGCGAACATGAAGGCGTCGGGGTTGTTGCACTCAATATTGTCGCTTCTTTGACCATTATTTCAAAAGATATAATAGTCAAGCATACTTTCGCTTTGTGCATTCCTCATCTCATCATCCTTTTCACAAGCCGGAGAGTTAGAACCGGCCAAGTGAAAAACTCCTGCATGTAAAAACCTTATAAATCTTTCACTACCGAGTGTATTATGCGTTGGCCAGGCAAAACGGTGTTTCTATTCTTTCTGTTGTAGGCTGTGATGCTTACAGTTTGCACTCTATCCAAGACTACTAGCCAAACCTCTTAGTTTGCAGCTACCTTCTTCAGCATCCAGCAGACCTTGATATGTTCGTCGAGAAACACCTCGTCGTCCTTGCGGCGGTAGCCGCACTTCTCGTAGAACCCTTGCTTGCTCAGTTGCGCAAGCAGAATGAACGACTCCACTCGGTCTTGGACAGTCTCCTCCACCACATCCATCAGGACCTTGCCGTATCCCTTACCTCGGCATTGCGGTAGCAGGGCTACACGCCCAATGCGAGCTTGACGGTTCCTTTCATCCACCATGCAGCGCGCGACGGCGATGACTTTGTCCTGGTTGTCAGTGTCCACTCCAATAAAGTGGATGGTGGAGTCTTCATCGTCATGTCCGTCGACTTGCAGGCTAGGGGTGTGTCCCTCTTCATCGCAAAATACACGCAGTCGCAGGTCGTACGCGAGCTGCTTGTCTTCACGTTTGGTGGCGATAGTGACCTTGAGTGGCATAGTATATCGCAGGCGAAGGCTCAATGTACAAACCTGAACAATTGGAAATGATCGGAGCCATGGACGTACATGTACCAGTTTGGTGCGGCATAGCGTTTATACGTGTACCTCATCCCATCAGTGCACATTGGCGAAACTCGAGTCACCCTCATCCTATCTAGACATGTGTAAGGACAGTGCGAAGCCACGCATAAACGTCATATGACTTCACCATGCGGGGAATGATGCGTGCCCCCATTCCAGTCTTAGCCGCGGCTTGAAATTGGATCTTTTTGCGTGCCTATGGCTTCCTCGCTGTGCTCTCAAGGCAGCACCTCTCAATTGATCATCAGAAACCCTGGTAATAATATCACTTCTTTTGCTCTATCAATCGCACAAGACTACTGACTAATATCGCTTCGTAGAATGAATTCAACCGCAAGATAAAGAAATTTGCTCAAAATGGGCCAACGAAGTTACTTGTGATCACCGACTTCGATCGAACTCTCACGCCATACTATAAGCAGCGAAGCGGGAATTCTCCACTGGAACAAGAACATAGTAGTCACCAAGCACTACTAACCAGCAATGTCCTGTCATCGTGGGTGGTTGAGGTGGATCGGCAGCTTTTTGGACGCTACTATCTGCTAGAAATACCTCCAACGCTGTCGAAAGACGAGAAGATGCCGATATTGGAGCAGTGGTGGACCAGCATCAACGCGCTGTTGGTGGAGAGCAGAGTCACTAAGGAGCAGGTGAAAGAGGCCATTGAGTGCAGCAACCTCAGTTTTCGCCACGGATTCCACCCCGTTATGAGACTACTACACGGCCAGCAATGCCGATTCTAGTATTTTCAGCCGATCTCTACGACGTGATCCATATTGCGCTGGAGAACGAATTCGTTGCCGAACAGAAACGTCGTGACGCTGTTCATGATGGCGGCCACAGATACACACCTGATAGCGTGCATATCGTGGCGAACATGATGCAATTCAATGACCACAGCGTCATCGAAGGTTTTCGTGGGGAAACCATTCACCCACTGACGAAAACGGCGCATTCGCTGCTAGAATCCTCCTTTTGGAAGGAGCACCAATTTGAGAAACGACGTAATGTACTCTTACTTCGTGACTCAAAATGTGACAGTCGCATGGCTGAAGGATTGGACGTCGACGAGACCATACGTGTGGGATTCCTCAATATCCACGTGGAAGAAACTCTGGACGACTATCTCCAACTCTTTGACGTCGTATTTACGAACGACTCGAGTCTCATTCCAGTTGAGCACTTGCTGAAGCAGATCATCAACGGATCGTGTAGACAGTAGAAGTAGAATGAAAAAAAAAAACACTTTTACAGGTAGCCTCTTAAGCTGGCTAAACTTCGTTTGATATTTCAATGATGGCGTCTGTGAAGCACCGGAATTGTTGGAGTTGATGCTTTGAAGATAACGACCGCGGGATTTGCACGCTCATCTCATTATTCTGATTACTCAGTGCAAATTGCGACTGTTTAGATGAGTTCGTTCGCCTCCAGCCGATTTCGAGTGGATCCTTCTCATTTCGAATTCAGCTTTCTGGTACGAACTCCGAAATATCGAGATGGTGTCTGCGTTCATCACAACGATCAAGGTTTTGACTACAATCGCTCAAGTGGCGCAGCGACTGAGCCCGGTGCCAGATCTGTACCGCGTTCACAAACAACGGGATACCGGCGTTATGGCTTTCATGCCGCTAGTCATGCTGCTATTGTGTAACCACGTATGGTAAGCAGAACTGTTTTTGTATTATTCGACGATAACAATGCGCCACAGTATCGCTGACAATGGTGTATCTTATTCTTGTCAGGTTGATCTACGCCTACATAGTGAAGAATATATTCCCGTTATTCTCCGTCTGCGTCTTCGGTGACATCGTTTTGGTTCTCTATGTCGCGATCTATGCAAAGTACTGCCCTGATCGAGCGTATGTGATGAGAATCCTCGTTGTGGGCACAGTTGCTTTCGTTTTGGTCACCATATACGCCGTTTTAGTTGCGATGGGGGCGATTCATCAGTCAAGAGACCAACTCGGCGATGTTTTCGGTTATTTGGCGAATGTGGCGACGTTTGCCTTGTACGCGTCACCATTTGAGAAGATCAAGCTGGTGTTGGAGACCAAATCGTCCGCTGCAATTCCCGTAATTCTGTGCAGCATCATTTTCGTCAACAGCAGTTTATGGCTCGTCAACGGAATCATCGACAATGACTTGTTCATTGTCGTACCGAACATTGTAGGAGTTACTCTGACTGCCATCCAACTTACGTTGTGCTACATTTACCGTCCCAGCAGACACATCTCGTCGGCGGATACGGGCGACAGTGAGCTGGACATCGTTGTGGATTTCGAAATGGGCGAGACGGCGAAAATAGCCACAACAAGTACACCTAAAAGCACTTCGTTTGCTGCTCTGGAATCACCAAAGAACCCCGCTAAGCAGTAAAAAACGCCTGCACTATCCGAGTAAACGTTTGCTTAACTTTCTAGGCTCAATTTTCGAGAATATGTCGCCTCGCTGGTTAGTTGTCTATGCGAAATTCTGGCAAGAATAAACAACATTAGTTGTGGTTACAGTGATTGTGTTGATACGAATACTAGTATAATTTGACTGATTGGAGATGGTGATATTACGCGTTGCACAGCGGCTACTCTATGTGTCTGTATCGCTAGTATATATGATTCATATATGTATGTGTATTATTGTAAAGCTCTCAGAAGTGCTGAGCTGTGTGTGGTTCATGTTCTTCAAAGTGTATTCAAGGTGGAGAACCACCTTTTTAGAAGATAAATTGGTACTTGAGTATGGTTCTCTACCCTGAATACGCATTGAAGAACATGGGCGACACACCATAACGCTCCGCTGGATGCTACAATAAACGCAACAACTACCATTATGGATTGGTCATCTACGTATAATCGCGAATCAAGCTGAAAAAAAAAAACGTTAGAACTATTTTTATTGGTCTAAAACCCGGTCATTTTGCATTTCTACTGGTGCCAACATTCGATGCCCTTTTTATGTGTATAATATATCTTCCAAATCAGATTTTCTATTGGTTTTAAAACGCATAACCACGAAATCCTCTGACTAAAAAAACGTTTTTACACGTTTGTTTTTTATACTCTTTGAAACGCACCAATCTATAACTACCATAAGATAACACCAAGATCAAGTGCTTTCGACTCACTCATTGGCCGCGGCTCGTGCATCTCGTCACTAATAGTGACTCACTATGCGTGATGTAAAAAACTAAATATCAAGCATTCACGTTATCCGTTTCAACATTTTTCCCGATAACTACTTCTTGCATATTATTGAAGTATGGAGGTATATTCGATACAAATTGCCTCAACATTATATAAAATAGCTAGCACATATATGATAAAACAGGTAGAAATACCTGTATGGCTTATTGACGTCTGGTCGAAAATCTGCAGGAGAGCACGCGTGCTGACTATCCAAACAACTCAACCACAATACGCCAAGGTCAGCGATTGGTTCGTTGCACGCGAAGTTTTCACTCGTCTCGATGCCATGACTAATCATCTTGCTCTCGTTGATCCTGCCTCACTGTGAGATCCTCACGTGTATTCTTTGTTTTACTTGCATCCGCTCACGTTGATCATCAGTCGTACCAGATTTAGTGTAGTCGAAAGATATACGCCGTGGAATAGCAAGATGGTATCTGCGTTCATCACAACGATCAAGATTTTGACCACAATCGTTCAAGAGTCCGGTGCCAGATGTGTACCGCGTTCACAAACAGCGGGATACTGGTGTTATGGCTTTCATGCCGTTAGTAGCAATGCTTTTGTGCAACCATGTTTGGTAAATCATTGTTTTGTATATGGATACTGTTATCATTTGCCTGTTGTTTTCTGTTTGTCAGGTTAATCTATGCATATATAGTGAAGAACATCTTCCCGCTCTTCTCCGTTTGTGTCTTTGGTGACATCGTCGTGGCTCTCTACGTCATGTTCTACGCCAAATACTGCTCTGACCAAGTGTATGTGGTGAACACCCTCATAATTGGTGGAATTCCTTTCGTTCTACTCACTGTCCACGCCATTTTGGTTGCGGTTGGAGCTATTGACCAGTCGAGAGACCAACTTGGTGCCGTTTTTGGCTATTTGGCGAATATAACAACATTCGCCGTGTTCGTGTCACCTTTTGAGAAGATCAGGCTGGTGATTGAGACTAAATCGTCCGCAGCCATCCCAGTATTTCTGTGTGCGCTCAACTTGATCAACAGTGGCTTATGGGTCGTCAACGGAGTCGTGGATAACGATTTGTTCATTATTGTACCCAATGCTGTCGGGGTTGCTCTATCTGGCATTCAGGTTATCCTGTACTACATTACCGCCCTAATAGAGACATCGCGTCGGCAAGCAAGGCCGGCAGTGAGCAGGACGTTGTTATGGATTTGGAAGTGGACACTGCCACGAAAACGTCTACAAGCTCAGTGTTCGCGCATTTGGTATCGCCAAAGACTCCCACTACGCAGTAGATAAAAACCTTACGAAAAAAAAGTATAGTAAATTTTGGAACTTTACATTTTGCAGTTCTAGAATTGTTTATTGAAGGTGAGTTTACATGTTAGAAATTTGCTGCGAAATGTTCTTGCTTGTTAGTTATTGTCGAGCTCTAAGCAGGTGCCTAACGACCTTCGTGTTCGCGAGATAGACACGGTAGGTCGCAGAGAGAAGATGCCACGTCGCGTCCCAACAATGAATAAGCCTTCGTTCTGTTCATTCCTCAAAAAGATCGACAATGCAAAAACCTCAACTCAAGTGTGTCGCTTTATCACTCCCAGAGCGAGTTAAGGCGTTATCGCATGTCGTTCTTCAAATCAACGAGTTGCTGATGCCCGAGAGTATCGATGCCGCCGTCTATAATGATTGCCAGTATATCATATACACCCATGGGGCTACTCGACAGTGGACTACGAAGGCAATGGATGGTGCAGCGACTCGAGGGCGCCTCGACCTTGTGAAATGGCTGTCGGTGATCCGAAACGAAGGGTGCACAGTTGCTGCAATTGACGGAGCAGTGAGGAACGGACACTTGAAAGTGGTGAAGTGGCTTTGCACTCACTACTTTGGGAGATGTTCAAGTGGAGCGCTGAATATGGCAGCGAAAAACGGTCATCTCGAGGTGGTCAAGTGGCTCTGTCGTCGTAACCGCGCTCAAACAAACCCAGAGCCGTATGTGGTTACCTACGGAGTACAACCCGTCGCAGCTAGTGGAGACACAAGCACGCTACATGTTCTTCTACGTGAGAATTGCAGTTGGTACTATGTGGGTCGCGCTCTCGAAGAAGCGGCGTCTGAAGGTCGGGTGGACGTGGTGAAGCTCTTGTTGACTGTGAAACTTCGACAAGCAAACGTTAGTCGCGCGTTGAAGAACGCAGTGACATCAGAGCACCCTGAAGTAGTCAAGCTTCTCGTTGATTTCTGTTCGTCAGCTGAACTACGAGCTGCATATCCAAGCATGACGACGGGATGCAATGTCAAGATCGCAGAGCTGCTTCGTAAAACAGTCGAGGGCAGAGAGGTGGAAGAGAAATGGGGATACTTCAGAGCTCAACACAAAACTCTCGAGAGGATGAAGGCGTCTCGAGATTTTACGACGAACCAAGATAAGTCCGTGTCATTCTGTGGACTGCTACGGTCGTGGTGAAGGAAGAGTTGAGCACATTCCCAAAATATAAAAATTGATATTGCTGTTCCTCATTTAGATCCATTAAAAAATTGTTTATTAGAAACTTTTTAACTAATGCATGGAACAGCATTCTTCAATTTGTGACGCTTAAACGGGAGTTAATACTGCTCTTCCTGGTCCTCAGTCTGCTTATCTACATCACCTTTTGCCTCTTCCTCGATTCGTACCTTTTTGGTGGCCTCCTCGCCGTTCGTTTTATCAATTTCTTCATCCTTGTCCACCTGCTCTTCCTTCTCACTTACTTCCTCTGTGTTGTCAGAAGTTGGCGGCTTTTCCAGCCCCTCCGTTGTCTCCTTGGCTTGATCTTCACCCTCAGCAACAGACTGCTCAGCGCTCTTCTCCGACATCTGGGCGCTCAATTCCACATCCTCTGTAGCGTTTTCTGGAGACACTTCACTCTTCTGTTCGTCCAAAGCGACTGCATCTGTAGATGACTCTGCTTTTACGCATTCCTTGTCTTCATCCTTCTTCTCTTCAGTTCGCTCTTTCGTCTTCTTCAAGACACGGCGCGCAGTATCTGCAAAGTCCTCTGCATCATGCGTTGCTGCCAACACATCCATAGCCGCCAACATCCTCGCCTCGCCATCGCACACGAGCTCTTCCACCTGTTCACGTTCCTCCCCAGACATGACGCCCTTCCCTTCCAGCTCCTTCAATAAATCCAGGACCAAATGGCCTTCCTTCGACTCATCTGCCTGCACATTCTTCAGCTTCATCGCTTCAAGACACGCAATCCGAGTCAGCGTATCCACAAACTCGTCCTTGTTATTGTCGCTCAGAAACACCACTAAAGCTGCTACCACACGGTCATCACGAGCCTTCACAAGCTGCACCAGTCGCTCAGCTCCACCACGTGGCAGCTTGTTCTTCTTTGCCAATGGAGCGATCCAGTCGTGCACCATAGCACGACGATGACGCTCCCATGCTGCTAACTCGACCAAGATCTCCAGTGTGTCCACAAACTCTTCAGTATTCTTGTCTTCGTGGAACACATCCACTGCGGCCAGTAAACGGGGATCATGAGCCTTCACCAGAGACATCAGCAACTGGATCTGCCACAGTTCCAGACGCCCACTACGTCCGAGCTCTGCCAGAAGACGAGACACAGTCTGGATCTCGTCGACAGTCTCCTCTTCAGCGTCACTTCCAAAACGTGCGTGCTTCACCACAAGCAGCAGCGTCTCCTCCAATTCATGGACATCTCCATCCGCTTGGAATGCTTCATTGGCAGCCTGTAAAGCCTCATTCCCACCTTGGAACAACACCAACAGCCCAGCAGCATCACCAGCTTGGATCGTCCCACGCTGCAGCATCTGACGCACCACCTCCTCCAGACTAACACTGCTCGTAGATGCTCCAGTCTGGATATTCTGCCCTGCTTGGCTTTGTTCAATCTGTCGCTGCAACTTGGCCACACGCTGCAGAGTATCCAACAGCTCGCTAGCGTCACCATCACCTGCGAACACTTCGTACGCGCTCTCCAACAAATTGTGACGCTGCGCCACCATTTTCCGCAGAGTCTTCGCCGCAGTCGGTGTCAGATGATGCTGCGCTTGCCATTGTCCAAGCAAAAAGCTCAAATGTCTCTGCCATCCCAGCGAGTCGCTGTCGTCGTCGCTGTCAATGAACGGATTCTCCTCTCGCACAGCGTCGTCCATTCCACGCGCAAAAGCAGCAGCAGCCTTCTCCTCGTCTCCAAGTTCTATCGTGATCTCCTCCACGATCCCCACCAAAGCGTCTCGCAGCACAGAGGCATCGCTATCACCCAGTTCAAAGTCACAAAAAATCTGGAGCACCTGCGTGTCGTTCTGAGCCACCAGCGCTTGGATAATATCCATCTCCAAGCTGGTGAGCATCTGCTGGGCATGTAGCAACTTCATCACTGACAATGCTGAGGGTGTAGCGGTGTTCCTCACTCTCTTCTTGGCTGGACTCTGCTTGTTGAGCTTCTTGGGACTCTTCTTGCTCTTCTTACTCGCTATAGGCTTCGGTGGGTCAATTCCCAGAGCTGCTAGGCGCTTGGCTGTCGTCTCCAAGTCCGATAAGCTGCCTCCGTCGTTCTTGTAGCTCTGCAGAGCACTCCACAGCAGCGTATTCTGGCCCAGAACCAGCTCCAACAGGTGCGCACCGTGCTCTTCAGGCAGCACGTGCTTGTCCAGCAGTCTCTCCACCATACCCAGCAACTCCATGGTGTCTACGAAGCGGCTGTCACTCTTGCTGCCTGTTATCTTCCAGCCATCACGACTTAGAGCCAAAACCTGCATCTGAACTTGAGGACTGAAGACTCTTCTGCCAATAGCAGCGACTTTCTTAGCCACCAATTCGGCATGGAGCGTTTCTTCGCCTTTGTTCATCCTTTGAGGGATCTGTAGCTCGTTTTTTAGTCCACTAGAGCTCTCGGGACGCAGCAAATTCAGTAAAAAGCGCTTCTTCTGGCCGACCGACGCGTCTCCAGTCATCACAGCGAGCACACGAGCGCTCTGCTGCTCACAGAGGTCTCTGAGGACCGCAGATTCGAAGCTGCTGAGCTTCTGCTCGCTTTCCAGCGCCTGTAGCAGTCTCTGCAGTCTTTTCAGTTCGCTAGAAGCCTCTGATGCCTCATTCTGAGGGTTCAGAGCGCCCTGGGAGGCTGTAGAAGGCGAAAATAGCGCGGAAACGCGTCCTGAGAGTAGCTCTGGCGCTCTACAGGCCACGGAGAGGGGTACAAGACGCTGGATTGAGCTGGACTGGCGTTTCTTCCGCGAGTTGGAGGCCGTTGACGCTACTTGGAAACCGGCGCAGACGCCGTCGTGATGGTTTAAAGCTGCGCGCACGAGCTGCTGAAGTTCGAGAGGCGACATACCGGCGTACAGCCCCACCGTCGCCCTGGAAGACGCCCCTGAAAGCTGCACATACGCTACGTCCGCCATGAGTGTCACTTGAGTTCAGTATGGAGAAGAGTGTTTATCAGTCGCAAAGATCGAAGCTTGTTGAAATGGTGTGGTGTACGTAGAGGATGTGAAGTGGTGTGGAACACATACAATTACGTGGAAGACACAGCATTAGCTTTGTGCCCTGAATACTGGCCTAGCATCCTGAATACTGGCCGGTACGTGTAGTGAATCATTCGCCATCGTCCACTCGACCAATTGAGTCAGCAGCGGCTCCAGTTCGACGTCTGACGCAGTGAGAATGACAAGTGTGTGGCCTGTGGCAGACGATCCTCGTGCCAAGCTGTTCAATGGTGGGTTTACAGCGGTGTAACTAGGAGTCGATCTCTAACGGGTTGTGAAACATCTGAGAACAGACCAAGTGCATGGTTACATCAAAGTCAATGGTCTGTGCGTGTCGCTCATGGACACACCGCAATTCCAGCGACTCAGGGACCTCAAGCAGCTCGGTACACTCTACTACGTCTTCCCAGGAGCTTCGCACAACCGGTTCGAACACTCTCTGGGCGTCAGCTTCCTGTCCGGACAGACAGTTGAGCGGTTCCGCCAGCAGCAACCAGAGCTAGAGCTCACGCAGCGAGACGCTAGACTTCTGGTACGGATGTTACAATGGAATCGACAGGAAATTAGACAACTGACAGTGTGTGCGTATTGTGTAGAGTGCAGCGGGACTACTGCACGATCTCGGCCACGGGCCATTCTCGCACGTGTTTGAGCACGAATTCATGCCACGTGTGGCGGCAGCGAGGGGATACGGCAGCTCAGATGCACCGGCATATCACCATGAAGATATGTCGTTGCGAATGGTTGAGTACATAGTGGACGACAACAACATTGACCTCGAAAAAGACGACATGCGATTCATTCAGCAGCTCATTGTTGGAGCTAAAGAGTGAGTAGAACGTGGATGGAAAGAGTGAGTTAGATGCTGAACGGCGTTGTACGTGGAATACAGGACGCACATGGGCTCGCGTGTGGATTCTCGCGGATACCTGTACGAGATTGTGGCAAACGGACGGAATTGCATTGACGTGGACAAGTTCGACTACCTGGCTCGAGATATGCTCAATCTTTTCGGTCTACGCAAAGTCTTTGACTTCTCTCGACTCACGATGTTTAACCGCGTGATCGACAATGAGATTTGCTACCATACAAGTGTGAATCTGGACATCTACGACATGTTTCAGCAGCGGTATCAGATGCACAAGCAGATCTACAACCACCGCAAGGGTAAAGCGGTCGAGTTCATGATCTGCGACGCAATGTTGCTTGCCGACAAGGAGCTAGGCATTTGTGCTGCCACACAGACACCTCAAGAATTCCAGTTCCTCACGGACCACATCGTTCATGTACGTGGTTTGTATTTAACTCTGGCACTAGCGAGAGCAGTTGATACTTACTTATTTTGCTTTCTACTGCAGTCGATTGAGGCGTCCAAGACTGACTCGCTCGCCGACGCACGAGCTCTGCTTAAGCGTATGCGTCGTCGCGAGCTGTATGAGTTTATTGACGAGTATCTGTTGCCTCCTGACTTGATGTCCCGCATCCCTCGCTTCACCGCCGAAGAGTTAGCTACTCAAACTTCCCTCGACGGCGTGACACTGGCTCCGGAAGACATCATCGTATCAGATGGGCGACTAAACTACAATTTCAAAGACCGCAACCCCGTGGATAATGTCTCGTTCTACGCTTCCAGTGATCTAAACTCCAAGTTCCACATCCCGAAGGAGGAAGTCAGCTTGCTATTCCCCGAGAAGGTATGCGCAGTATCGATCCGTTGGAGAAATATGTCTATGCTAATTTATTGTTTTTGCTTATGGAAACAGTTTGAAGAGCGCATTATACGCGTGTACAGCCGAAACAAATCACTTAAGGTCCACGCAGCAATTCAGGTAAATACCAGCGATTACTTTGGTCGACGTTCAACAAAAAAGCTCGATCCTCACCTGTTTCTTGATGCAGCATGCCTTCCGTACGTACATTCGCCAATTCAGCACGACACTTCCGCCGCCGTCACCGTCTTCCAAGGTACACATTGCTCGCAAATATGTGCAATTGTTAGTTTCTCGAATAACATTTTTTTCAATTATCGACAGGTTTTTGGCCAAAAGATCACCGAGCACGTGCTGTCGTCCAAAAAGAAAGTTGTCAGAAAACTACCAGGTAAGATTCTGTAGTGTACTACTGCAACCGAACCATAGACTAATTGTCATTGGCAGTGCTGCCAGAAATAAGTAGTGAACACGACACCAACGGCAGCCCTTCAACGTCCCCAGCCAGCAAACGCCTCAAATCTGCTCCAGAGAGTAAAGATACCCAGTAATAATGATGGTACCAAGTGCTGTACGTTACACCCATCATACACACCACCATTCAACGTGTTTCATTTAGATATAAGGTTCTGTGCGCGTATGCCATCACTCTTCTCCAATTTGAACTTTCTGCTCCAGGTCGTCCACTACGTTTCGAAATAGTGAGTCGAAGAAGCTCTTCCACTCTGGATACGGGATGAATTTGTCCATATCGTTTGGATCCAACGTGCGGATCTTTATATCTCTTCCTCTGCGGAAATCATGCCACTTGCAGCCAATGAACTGACAAATATTGCGATATCCCCAGCGATATCGTCGTCGAGGGAATATTTCAATAACCAATGTTTCAGGACGAGTCCATAAGACGTTGACCATTCCAGCGCCGTGCATTCCGATCACTACGTCGCTGTCCAGCATGGCCTTCATTTGATCTTGCATCGTCATTTTCGTGAACTCTAGAGATTGGAACTCGCACTCTCCGTACCGATAGGCGTCTTGATAATCCTCACGCATTCGTTGTAGAATTTCGTCTTCATTCTGCCATATGCGCTGGACACGACGTCCACCGTAAGGTCTCCGTGAGATGACGGTAACAAGACACCGTTTTGGGTCACTCTTAGCGTTGTGCGGAGCTACTCCTAAGCTTTTGAGTGATAACTCTCTGAAGTCTTTGATCATACCATTGGCATAACAGGGTTGGTTGTCGTCTAGATGATTCATAAGCGGACCTGTGGCTTCGTACGGAACCAAAAGAGCCGATTCAAGGTACACAACTCGATTCTGGAACTCCTCTCCACTGATAATAATACGTTCAGGCCCTAAAAGAGCATGTCGGAGTTCGTCAACAGGAGTCGGCAAAGCGCGATCGAATGTAACGAGCTGCGTGGTGTTTCTTTCCCGCCCGATAGTCTGCATCATTATCCACGCGTTTAACATCCCAGAGATCTGGAAAAATGGGTTATGATCATCTCTCCGCACCAGCACCACTGCACGATTCAATGTCAGCTTATCGCCCATACTTTTCTCGTCGATAGCAGTAGTTTTACATACGGGATCATCCCCACCAGGTCCACCAACAAAGAAATCCTTCCAGATGTTTGGAGCTCCGTGTGCGTGATCTTGCGGCCCCGAACAACTACAAAACGTCGAGTTCTTCATGTATTTAAACCGCGGGTCGTGACCGCTTCCATCATCCGCCAAACTGTCAATATCCTTGGCCACTTGTGTGCCCCGGATGTCCAACACAAAGTTCTTGAGTGTTGTAGCACTCAAACCCGCTTCAGACACGTGATAAAACGTGTACGGCGAGCTGCTGTTATCGCTTTCGCTACAAAACAATTGTGAAGAGCTGCGTAGCCGTTCTAGCAGCCCGTAGTCCCTAGCATGACACTCTTCTTTGGACCCCTTATTAGGAGTCCATTCCGCTGACGCGATCTTCTCCTCTTCTTGAACGAGGTGGTGGATAGCTTTATGATACTGCCGAATCCCAAATGGATACATCTGTAGTCCTTTAGTGTCAATGGACTCAATACTGTCAATGTTGCTGCTTGAGCTAGTTGACGCCGTGATAGGTCGGAACGACTTGAAGCTCTCGAAAAGGTTGAGGAGCGACACCAGCGCAATAACGGAGACCATCGCACCCCAAAGCCAGAGTCGTCGATTGTAGCGTGCTGCTGTGCTGGAATTGCCTGGCACCTTCTTCATGAGAGGGGGTGAGACCATTGTCTGCGTCTGGAGAGCGAGATCGAGAATGATGAAGTGATACGTCAAGAAGATTTCATTTAGGCATGTACTGAATTGATTGCATGAAAATAAGTACAATTGAGTTTGTAAATGGTGCAGTCTTTGCAGATTGATTAGTGGCTACACAGTTATTTATGGTGCTTTGTGCATCCAAAGTGTAGATAGCGGAAAGCGCAAATGATGGTTCATGCCCAGATTCGTGCACTACGAAAGCATGAACCAGTACAACATATGATGCAAATGAACATTATTAACAGCTCAAAACTCGACTACACCTCGGGCTGTGGATTCACAGGCTTGGTCATCCAACACTGTTTGTGCCCCTCGTCGACGAAAATCTCGTCGTCGATAGAGCTGTAGCCACACTTCTCGTAGAATCCCTTCTTGTCGACTAGCGCCGCCAGGATGAATAGGTCTACACGGTCGCGAATGTAGTCTTCTACGGCGTTCATCATCGCTGTGCCGTAACGCTTGCCACG